GGCAGTTTAGTTTTGTTTTGTTTAGGTATAACAAATTTTTTTCGGCTGAGAAATCCCGAAATTTTCGGTATTTCGAGCAGCCTTGTAATAATTTATTTTACTAAATACACTTTGCCTCACTAAGTCACTCCGGGCTCGACAGCCGTCGTGAGTGGATATTGTATCGCTTATTTGCAACGATAAAGATCGCTGTAGAAATACAAAATGTTAAAAAAATCTAATTTGATACATACTTGACAAGGAAAGATATTATTATTTTTATAATCACAGATTTTTATTACAATATTTTGTTTCGCTAAAAGTAAGTAGGATTTATATATAAATATACTTAAATATGTACGTTTTGAAGTAAAGGAGTGACTACTGGAACTCCTCGACGTGTAGAAATACGTGCTGAGTTTCGACTCGTTTTGATAGTTATCTTGACACCTTTCCTCCGGACTTGAGAAGTGACCGAAGGTGTACTTCGATGAATGCTGCTGGAACTTCTTGACGAGTAGAACTAGGTGTGCCAAATTTGGACTCGTTTTGTTAGTTATGATGAGACCTTACTTCCTCAGAAGACCTTACTTCCTAATTATGATGAGACTTGATAGAGTGACCTGAAGGTGTACTTCGATCAATGCTGCTGGAACTTCTCGACCAGTAAAACTAGGTGTGTCGAGTTTGGGCTCGGTTTGTTAGTTATGATAAGCCTTTACCTACGGCCTTGATGAAGTGACTTGAAGGTGTACTTCGGTGACTACTACTGGAACTCTATGACAAATAAAACTACAATTTACAATTTTCTTTAAATATTTTTTCACGTTCAAATGAGCATTGTTAGTCGTGCACTTTTGGATTTTCCAAACTTTTTTTATATTGACGTTTGACATAAAAGTATAGTAATAAGGTTATTAGTGAAAACTTGTGTGTATTTAAACTCCTTTAAAAATTACGTACAACATTAGTGTTTAAGGCATGCACATTTGGATTTATCAAAAGTTTTATTTTCTCTTGTATAACTTATATTTCTTGAAAAAGTTTTTGCTGTTTACTGCATAACATATTTTCTTTACGAAATCGTACAATACGAGAATAGTTCGGGGATAAAGTTTCTTCGTATTTTATTTGTATAAAATTGAAAAAAAAAATCTCTTTGGTTGTACTATTTGTATCTGACTGGTTTTAATAGCAATACATATAAGACATTAAGAAAAAGAAAAAGTAAAAAAACACTCATAGACTTACGGTACGTGTACACTAAAACCGATTTTATCGGCCGATGGCGGACAAAACTACCCGGACGAGTAACTCGGACGTGTATGTGCTTACACTGCAAGAGTGTACCACGTGTGCCGACTGCTGACATTGCACGTTGCCGGTATTCTGTAGTTGACTGTGTTGCTTAACAGAGTGAAGACGCATTTTTTTAAATATCTGGAACTGCTATGTCCATTTCCGATCCAACTTTAGCCCATAACCGTTTCGAAACCTCTTGATTATTGTAATTGTATATTGCCTATTATAAACACAACTAATTTATTTTTCAATATCCATAGTCGCTTAGGTAAATAACAACACTGACAGAAACAACAGAATAAAGAAAGAATGATTAAATTAAACTATAAATACACTAAATTTGCACTGTAGACGCCGACAATCTGGCGAGAAATCCCAACAAGTTCGGACTCAACGGTTGATCGGTCGTATTCGTGCGTTATCGGACGATGACGGTCGTGTTTGTGTACGTCCGAGTTCGGCCGTCATCGTCCAAGCAAACTTCGGCCGATGACGGATTAGGTGTACGCGTACCCTTAGAATATACTGGCATATGGGCGTAACTATTTCATTGGTGCCGACGGGGATCAAATCCGGCTTATAATGAGCAGCGATGAAAGTGACAGTGATAGTTACGAAAACTGATACCTACATTAACTGGACCGATATCCTCCAAAAAGCAAAAGCTGGACAAAAACGTAAGCATTACAAACAAAAGTTCAATGATGAGTGGCTATATCTACTAAAGATAAAACCGGAAGTGTGTATTTCAACAGCATCTAGCGAAAGGTTTGCTACATTAACGATACTCTTTGATATTTTCCTCCAGATAAGTCCAAAGGAATGGGATGGATGGGTGGGTGACGAGTGGCAGAATTTTCCGATAGTAATGGGTCAAAAAGAGCGTTCACCCTCAACTGACAAAGTCAACGAATTTATGTACGGCGTAATACGTTACTTTATTAATTTTAAAATATTTTAATAGTCTCTTTCTTGATAATAATTTAAAATGTTGCACAACCGACTTCAAGATGTTATTAGAGACCACATGAGAAGCACCAGGTTTCGAATAAAAAAAAGAATCATCGAAATCGGTTCACCTGCAAAAAAGTTGTGAGGTAACACACAAAAAAAGAATCCTCGTTTTTGAAGTCGGTAGAAAACAGTTAAACAATTCTTTCGCTGTTTACAGATAGCTCAGCTGCAGGACCAAAGTGAAGAAAATAAATTTAAATTTCTGTCCACATTTATGTTGAACATCCTGTCCTTGTCCCACTCCAATGATGCATGTGAGAGACTGCTCCGTCAAGTAGATTACAACAAAACGAAGAAAAGAAATTATTTATTTATAACAAGCGTTGCATACATGTTTTATCAGTTTTATTGCATATAATTGCATCAGTCAAAATCATGGGCTTAGCTTAGTTTGTTACGACATAATTTACAAAACTCAACGCTCTAATTTTACTTGTAACTATTTCTGAAAGTGTTGATACACGATGGTCACAGGTGTGAGTGATATGCCATTGAGTACGCTGCTGGCAGTTCGTCTAATTTTATAGACAGTTTCACACGTTCGTCGAAAGTACTCTATCAAATATTCAATCGGTTTTAATTTGCATTTAATATTAACGATATATGCAATTCCTGTTTATACCAATAAGAATACCTATTTATGAAAGCCATAACATATTTAAATATCATAAATAAATATAAATATCATTCTACCTGACTCTCTCTCCTGATCTGTAAACTTATGACCACCTTCATTACATTGAATTGCTTATAATTTTGCTTATAATTTATCTATTAGATTGTTCTTCTTTCCTTTTCTTGCAACAACAATACACCTACCATCAAGCAATATAAGGGAAACCTGTTATTGGCCACACTTTTAGTTTGTTACATTAATGTTAATATTTACTATATACGCTCTTGGTTTAGAAAACCATTTTTTATAGAAAACGAACATTTATTTAATTATTTTCAATAAATTAAATAAATAAATTAAGCACGGGGATAATATTTAGTTCAATTACTTCATAAAATAATGCCAAGAAATATAATTGTTATAAGAAATATGATACCTATTATGTAACAGTTATTATTTATAATGAAAACTGCGATAAAGCCCTTTTAAAATTACGATACCCACACGGGGCGTCACTAAAAGCTTAGTATTTATGTATCTTCAAAGCTCAGCTTTGTTACCTCAATAATACAACACAGTAATCATCAATAGTATCGTTGTCAAATTATAAGATAGTATCATCAACATCATCATTACAGCCCTTCACAAGTCCACTACTGAACATAGGCCTTCCCCAAGGAATGCCACAATGCATGGTACCGGTACCAGACTGCCACTCGGGAACCTTTCTTCCACATCGCTTTTCGGTTCTTTAAGCTATATGTCCGGCCCATTGCCACGTTAGCTTACTAATCCGTTAGGATCTTCATTTCTAAGTTTATTACACAGAGAAACCCCAAGCGTAGCCCTCTCCATAGCTCGCTGAGCGACCTTGAGCTTCGTCATACGGCCAGCAATGAAAGACCACGTCTCAGATCAATTTGTCAACACTGGCAACGCGCACTGTTTTGAGGTATGTCTGACGAGATGTGTCGTAACCTTCCGAACGCTGCCCAGCCGAGACGAATCCGTCGATTGACCTCTCGTTCGAAGTTTTACTTACAAGCTTTTTGTCTCAGGTAAAGATACTCGTCAACAACTTACGAGCTTAGTACTCCAAACAACTACCAGCATACCGACGTTAAACACGATCTTTGTTTCGTCCATGTTCATCTTAAGACCTATCCGTTGGGAGGCACTATAGAGGTCATTGAGCATAATGGCTTAGGTCCTCCAGCGATTCTGTCATAAGGACTATATCATATCGTCGGCAAATCAATGGTGAGTGATGTTCTCGCCATTGATGTTATTACCGTATCTTTTCCAGTCCAGTCCAGTTTTTAGCACGTGGTAGAGCCATGCTGCAGCTATATTAGTAGTATAGTTGTAGCACGAATGAGTCGGCTCGACCGGGGAAGGACCACGCTCTCACAGAATACCAGCGTAAAATAGCAGCTTAACACTGCTGTGTTTCGTATGGTGAGTGTAGAGAACCGGAGACTCCTTTTACTGGAAAAGAGGCATTCCATCTTAGTCCTCACGGGTGACAACGCATCTGCATTTTGATTCGCAAACGAGGATAGATGTAGATGTCTATGGGCCACAGCAACCACTTACCATCAGGTGGACTGTGTGCTCGTTTGTCAGCCTATCCATATAAAAGAGTTAGTTTAATACTCTAAGGCGCAACCTCACGACATCAGTCCGCCATATTAAAAGGCATAAACAACGGTGTTACGAGGTTTGCTTTAAAAATATGTGATGGTGCATTTACGGCGTTAGCTTGACACAAATTGTCTATGGTTTTATTATAGTTGCATTTAAGAGGTTTGAAAGGAAATATGTCTTTTTTTTTAATGCATGCAATGGTATCAAAATGTCGTTTCTACCTATATATGGAGTTACAAGGAATGCGTATTAAGATGACGATATCCTATATTTTGTATGTGTAAAAAGTATTAATACACTTTTTTCCATATTAGTGTGCAGTTGAAAGTGTTTGATCGGTTAATACAGTTTATACAAAATATACAAACTTAAAATTTCATGAATTACTTTGTTCTAATACAACCACTTGGCGACCACTAGTAATAGTAATAAAACAAAAAAAACCTCTAAAATTTTCTCAATTTATTTATATTTTTCAATCGCATCTGTATATTTTTTAGTCTCTGGTTATTAGTCAACCTCTTATTATCTATTATATTCCGCTTTTTCTCTAAACCGTAATTAATTTTTATCTGCGTCTTCCTCACTTTGTTCAGTTCGAAAAACTTCCTCATACATACATTGCACTTTTTCCTATGACCTAATTTGCTAACGCTGCCAATTCTTATATAGTAGCGATTCGTTCCGGATTTGAGGAACTTGTAACATAAATCGCAAATTTCCATAATCTTCTCATATTTATAGTTCAACGCTTCTTTCTGTTCGCATCTGTGGTAATTATCTACGTGTGAAAGGTAACTAATGTAATAGAGTCCACATTCCAGGCACTTTTGCCTAAAGGTTTTCTTTTTCACATAGTCCGAATGATGAGTCTGGATATGGTGTTTGAGATTCTTCTGGGTCCCGGCAATGTATCTGTCACAGGTAGTGCAGAGGAGAGGCAACCTCGTGTTAAAGATTATATGTGACGCTTCGTGTATTATGAGGTTGTATCTGAAAAATATATTCCTATTAAAAAAATGGGTCTTGCACCGATATCAACATTAATTAATACGTGGTAGAGCCATGCTGCAGCTATATTATGGTTGTAGCACGAAAGGGGCGGCTCGACCGGGGAAGGACCACACTCTCACAGAATACCAGCGTAAAATAGCAGCTTAACGCTGCTGTACCATCAGGTGGACTATGTACTCGTTTGTCACCCTTATCGTATAAAAAAATGACAGTCATCGGGTACGTCGTTGATATGTAAAAAATTGTTTTATTTTATTTATTATGATAATCCTAAGGCCGTTAAAAGTATGAAGGGAAAACTGGTATCATAATTCGCGTCGTGTAGTTATCGCTTAAGCATTAGTACCTAGTGAGCATGTCACTAAAAAAGTGAATAGTAGGCAAAAACTGTGTGGCACAACATAGGGAGCGCGCGTACGCTGTAGTTGTTGCTCATAACCCACATTCTATTTAGGATAGTTTCAAATAAAAGTAGAAGCCTTAAAAAAGAAGCCTTATTTACTCGTATTTTATAAGAACGAATCAGGAAAGAGTGACAAAGCAAATTTACTCCGCAGAAGGGAGTAACAGAGTCGGAAAGGGATGCTTTAGAAAGAAGTTTATTAACCAATTTTGCGACATAGTATAACAGCATAAAATAGCAGCTTAATGCTGTTGTTTCTTATGGCGAGTGTAGATAACTGGACACCCTTTTTTACTAGAAACTAGGCATTCTATCTAAGCCTCAGGGGTAGTGCATATTAATTCCTAATCGAGGAGAATGTAGAGGTCAAAGCATCCACTTACCATCAGGTGGACTTTGTGCTCGATTGTCACACTTATTCTGTAATAAAAAATCTTAACAGAAGCACGTATGCGTATGATATATGAATATGAAAGAAACAAAAGAGGAATGAATATCCAAATAGAAGTCTGTCACTACTTAGTGCACTGACTGCAGTGAGTGCACTGCTTATATAATATGTGTGTATATATTGCTAGGCTTGGCAGTCGAGTTGCCAACTACACCTTTTTATTATTTTACTTTTCCCCTAGTTTCATTTCCCTCTGTCACCTCTAACGACATCCACGGGATATGTGCTAGTGGATTTTCTTACCTGTCTGGAAACATTTGATTGCATCTCTTGCATCTAACATTTTGAGTTTCCCTCAAAACGTCATAATGAACACTTTCGCAATATTTCTCGACATCCTCCAATTTGTTTACTTCCTTTAATTTCTTCTCATTAGATGCTTTATCTAATTCGAGTTTCACCTCATTGTTTTTACTATGTGAATTAATATAAGGCTTATTCTCATTAGCAAAGCCGTCGGGGGCCACCGCACTGTACCTTCCAAATACATATTTGTTTTTATACATTACATTATTTTCTATGTCATCTGTGTCGTTAGACAGATCGACAATTGTTAAGATTTTAATATTACATTTGCTAGCTTCAATAGCTTTGTTTAAAATTGGCTGATCAGTTACGTTTAAAGCTACTTTGCATTCCGTAGTTAAGTCGTCTAAGAGCTCGTTGATGTTTTCAAATTCTTCGTCATCTTCAAATCGTATTCTATTTTTAATTCTTTCTCTTTCTTCTTTTCTTTTTCTATCTTTTAAATTTACATGGTCAATTGCATTGGTACAATGTGGCAATGGTATATTTGAATGTTTTATTTGAATGTGATTTTGGAGGTCATTTTGTGATGTGAAACAAAACCCGCATTCCTTGCATGTGACCACTTTCTGATTTATTAGTGGTATAATAATGTGGGTAGCATTGTGAATTAAGCTTTCGTATCTGTAAAAGAACATTTTACATATTATTTTACATATCAGACATACTGAAAGAAACAGAGAAAGTGGACTGTACAATTTCTTTATTGATTTATTTACTGAATTACTTAATTACTTCGATAACTGAGACTAAACTGAGACTAAGTGGAATGTGTGTAAATTTAACCGTTCAATAGAAAGAAAAGGTAATAGGTAATAAACAATTTATTCAACTATTTAAAATAGTAATAACAATTTACAGTACTACTAATTAATATACAACAGGGTACACTAGAGGGATTTTCTTGATGTCTTTTTTCTTCTCTGTCGCTTGAGAATTGAATAACGCCCAGCGGCCAGATGCCCCTCTTTTATTCGCGCGGCGGGGTCTCTCGGTAGTTAGGCTCTCACGCGGGGTCGCTGCGCGCTCGTTGGTCGCGGACATCACGTGATGTTCGTGGCGGGTGTGCGGGGTGTGCGAGGTGTAACGGGGCATGCAGGGGCCACGGGGCGGCGGCTCCCTTCGCCGTCCGTAACATTCTCCTCCTGGCGTAGTCCTCGAGCCTATTCTTCCCGGGAAGACAGCGATCTTCCTCACCGGTCTTTTGAGTAATCCACCTCGCGTCTTGACTTCCACATTCCATACCACACCGTCAGGTCCGGGAAAGATCCTGGTGACGACTCTTCGTGGCCATACGTTCCTGGGGAATTTGGCGTCCACGATCACGACGACGCCGTCTTCTTTCACTTACTCTCACTGGGCGTTCCGTGATTCTCCTCGCGGGATCAGTGTAGATAGGTACTCCCGCTCCCAGCGCTTCCAATACTACGAGAGTCTTTGCGCTGCCATCCATGTTCGTCGATTCGCTGATGAGCACGTCGCGGTGATGGATATGTTCGCTGGTACCAACATTACGAAATGGTTGGGAGTTAGGGCTTTCTGATCGTCCATGCTGACTGGCACGTGAGTTAGAGGTCGAGAATTGACAGTGTGTTCGACCTCTGTCAACAGTGATCAGTGTTTCCCTTCTTTGTGGTTCTTCTGATGAAGGGTTGCTTCCAGTGCCGTCTTGATGGATCGCACCAGTTGTACCGATGCGCCTCCCTGGTTGGGCGCACCCAATGCGACGAACTTCTACTCGGGGCGTTGCTTCAACGTGAAGTCCTTAAGCAGTGGTCTCCTTTCCTCCATGGCCAGTCGTAGTCCGGTGTCTGCTCCGTGAAAGTTGGTGCCATTGTCAGAATATATTACCCTAGGCCACCCACACCAAGCCGCCATGCACCTTAAAGCCACGATTTCCGAGTCCGTGGTTAAGCTATGTACTATTTCTACATGTACCACGTGCGTCGTCAAACACATAAATAACCCGGTAGAGATCCCGGTGTACGTAAACGGTCGCGCGAACGCCCCTAATCTTTCGGGTGGTAAATCCCCTATGACCGCTGGCTGTGGTGCAGCCTTACGTACTCGACAGCACGGACATCTTTTCTCTATTTCTCTCACAGTTGGTCGTAGCCGGATAATGTGGTACTTCATCCGCAGATCGTTGACCACTCTTTCTCTTTTGACATGGCATGCGTCCTGGTCTGCCCTCTCTATCAGCAGCTTCACAAATTGGTGGCGACCTTCCAGGACGACTGGTCGCTTCATTTGGTCGTCTACATTGGCTGCATTTATCCTTCCCCTGGCTCTTAGAATACCAGCTTCCATTATGGGGTCGAGCATCCTCAGGGTGCTGCCGTTGACCTGGTTCCTATTCTGGCAGAATCAGTTAATGTCGTCAGGGCTGGCCAGGCAGTGCTGACTGCATGCTATCCACAGCCGCTCTGCCTTCTGAAGGGTTAGTTCTTGAGCCCGTCCTTGCATAATCTCTACAAACTGATGATCAGCTTCTCGCAGGAAGAAAATCTCCTTATGTCTGGCAAGTGTGGTGCGTCCTTTAACTCGCTGTGATTCGCCACAGGAGATGATAATATAGAGGATATTATCATCTCCCGCCCTTTCTTCCCGTTGCTGTGTGCTCTTCTTTATAAAGAAATGACGGACCGGTGAACCATTTGTCGCAAACAAGGATGGTCGGTTGCGATGTTTATGCGCGTCGCCTGGTCTGCTATGTTCTGTGCAGTTGGAATCTATCTCCACTGATCGGGTGAAGTCTTCCCTGCTATTTCCCCGAGTCTGTGTACAACGTATGGAGTGTAACGCGGTGTCATTTCTGACCCAGTGGAGCGTCGTAGAAGTCTGTCCAGTATACGAACCTATCTCCTCTCACTCTGTGTTCATCCTGCACGAATTCCACGACTCGGTACTTCGAGTCTTAATCGGGGCGACTTTCGCCTTGGCCGCTACTAACGTGACCCTAACCGTACCGTCGCGATAACGGAAAGGCCAATATGCCGCGCATGCGAACGCGTGTTCACTTGCGTCATTAAAAACCTGAAATTTTCTATCCACTAATCCCCCCGTAGGAGTATAGCTGTGATACTTCGTACATTTGGCTGATGCACGAGCTGCTGCGTGGAATAACTAGTCTCATATTCCCTGGCTTGTTCGAATTCTTTACAGCGAAATGTGGCAGGTACCAACTCTTGGGATACTCTTTCTCGAACCCGTAGGCTTCCTCGGCGTAGCCCTTCTCCAGGAGGTTATTCATTTGCGTTGCATACGCATCTCTATACTCCAGTGGCTGATCCATTTTCCTCTCAATGGTTCGGAGTCTTCGTGCTACCATCTCATAACTCGGTGGCATCCTGACGTCGTCGTCTCTCCATGGCAGTCCGACCTGGACTGCTCGCCGACCTTCTTGACGGTGCGCTGGACGGTGGTCTGCTCTTGAGCGAGATACGTCAACTCCTCGTCTGGATTGGCGAACGTCTTGACGTCTTTCTCTATCCGCCCGTTCGATATATCACCGTATCGCTATCTTCCTTACACATCACTCGCGGCGCTGTTCCTTGCAAGACTCATCCTAATAATGTTCTAGTGGCAATGGGTTGCTTACGCCGTCCTATCGGTAAATTACGTGTTATAATTAAATGCCAATTGTCCGATCCGATTAGTACTTCGAGACTTTCCCTATCTGTTTCTTCTTGAATTTCTTTTAAATTAAATCTTTTTCGATCTCTTATTGCTTTCTCCTAATCGCGGCGAGCTCTTCAGTTCTGTTATACTCGAATTGCTATATTCTCGCGATCATGCTACCTGTCGACCGGGCCTATGAATAGCGTCTTTAGCTACGGGCGCGACTGTTTGAACTGTGGAATTGCTTTCAGTGACCGGAACAACTTCTATAATCGCGGCGAGTGTATCTGTACGCAGCGCGAATGTAATAGTTTCTAGTAATCGCTCGGTCGTCGACACGGACATAGCAGGGCGTGGGCGCGAGCATAGATGAGGGCGTCGGCGGGAGCGCGGCGGTGAGCACGTGTGTCGACGATAGGTAGTCTGAGGGGGACGCGGTGGCTTCTTCGAAGATACGCATTCCCACTGGTGTTTCGTCGTCGTTCCTAGGTTTCTGGCTTCTTGTTTTACGCATGCTGTCCCACGATGCAGCTTCCGATCGTCTTCAAAAAGACGCACGTATGGGTTGCCGTTCCCACCACAAGTGGCGTTACCAGCCGAATACCGTATGGCACCGTTAGGTGGTAATCAACTCTGTAGTGTTCGGGTAAATATAAGAAATCATTATGGTAATCCATATGGTCATGTAAACGCGGTACGAAACAAGAGGTTATGACGTTCTGACGTGACGTATGACGTTTGACAGACTATTATTAGAAACGAGGATCTGATTGAGATTATCGTTCTTCTCTCTTGACTGACGATCTTCACTCTTGACCGATGATCTTTACTCTTGACCGACGATCTTCTATAATTATTTTCTACCTTTTTTTCGATCTTTTGGCTTCAATCCGGCGGCGATGGACCAAAGAATTGAAACGGACAGCGGAGAGAGCATGTGGACTGTATGATTTCTTTATTGATTTATTTACTAATTTACTTAATTACTTCGATAGCTGTGACTAAACTGAGATTAAGTGGATTGCATCTAAATTTGACGGTTCAATAAAAAGAAAAGGTAAACGTAACGTAAACGATTTATTCAACTATTTATAATAGCGGCAGTACTACTGTTAGAGGGATTTTCTTGATCTGTCTGTCTTCTTTCTTCTCTGCCACTTGAGAATCGAATGACTCACGGCGGCCAGATGCCCTTCTTTTATTCGCGCGGCGGGGGTCTCTCCGTAGGTGGGCTGCACGCTCGTTGGTCGCGGGCATCACGTGATGTTCGTGGCGGTGTGCGGGGTGTGACGGGGCATGCAGGGGCGGTGGCGGCTCCCTTCGCCGTCCGTAACATATATAATATGGAAATGGTGTCATGGCCATGATTACCACCAAAATTAAACTAATTTTTTTTTCATTTATTGTGGCATTGGCTACAAAGCCTTTAGTCAAAAAGAATCATCACATCAATATTCAAATATATCAACAAATTTCTTCCCGATATATTTATGCTTCATATTGCAAAGCTTGTACTGGTTTAAGCTGCCGTACGAGAAATGTTAGAATGGCGGACGCACCACTCGCCCTATTCTCCAGGACTGCTGCCGAGGAGCGGCCGCTACGCTATGGGGCGGCCGGCGCTGGTATGGATGCGGATGCTTGCGAAAGCGTAAGCATTTCTACATGTAAGAAATGAACGCTCTGATTCCCACCTGAACGGATTCACGTCTTGTCGTGACGGGGGTGCTTAGTATGTGTATGCTGTGTTTACTAGTAAATAGTCACTACACTCAGTTTAAAAAAAAATCTGTTATTTAAGATGTCGTAGTGTAAGTCGACTTAGTAAGACATATGAACAAATTAAAGTAATAGTAGAAGTGGTTTGCACCCCACAGTGAACTAAGAGCACGGCGGACACTTCTTTGCCATAAAACCTTCAGCAAAGTGGAAAAAGTTTCTTAGTATACAAATTCGAGACAATTTGTTCAAATTTTAATAACATTTAACTATAATATATATGTGCTATTTTGCAGATAGTGATATAATCCAATTGTTGTAGAAATCTTGACTTTTGAAACAAAAATGCGACAAGTAGTTTTGACAGTCATCTATTGATGTTAACCTAACACTACCCAAATAATTCTGAAGACAGAAACAGGTAAAAATCTGAGGGTGCAAGGTCAGGACTATATGGTGAATGCATTAAATACACTCGGCGTCAAAAAAATTGCACATCCGAAAAAAAATATTTAAATACTATTTTAACACAACAGGCCAATGGCAATGTTGTGGTTTGAGGGTATCATTCGAAAGGTAATTTGATTAGCTTTCAGGAATTTTAATTGAATTTTACTTTTATAACGAGACGAAAGAGAAAGAAAAAGACAGGGTATGTACAAATTTGCAAGAGATGTCGTAACGATGAAACGGTCATCTCTTTCTGTTGTGCACCGTTTTCTTCCAGATCCCGGTTTTCTAACATAACCACTAGTCTGCTGAAAACGTTGGAACACCCGTCGAACTGAAAAACGGGACAGGTTCAACTGTCGAGCAACGTCACACTGCCGCATCCCCGACTGCAATAGGGCAATCACTTGAGCGGCTTCTTCAGAGCTGGTGTCCATCTTTACTTGTTCTTACTTGGGTTACTTGTTCACGTGTGTTCACTGCAAAGTTCTAAATTACGACTGACCCATATTTCATCCAGATCGACCCTTTTATACCCTTTTTAGGTGGTGTAACTAGCGTCCTTACTAACGAGAATTTGACAGTGTTTATTTTTGACGCTCTATAATGATAATTTTTTTAATGATTTCATGATTTTTTTATTAATAATGTAAAGCTATTCAAATACCCATTTCAAACATACCAATATTTATATAAACATAATTCGTTTCTAGCCATTACAGCCATTTTTCGCGCCAACTTAGAGAGGTGCGATTTTTGTGACGCTGAGTGTACTTCCCAACCAAACTCCCTCAATTTTTGCTGCGTTGCCAAATATGTGTGTGGTCTGGTGTTATCATGATGATCAATTCCGGCCGTTTTTTCTAAACTTCTTGAAGTCTCATTAGTTGTTGGCAGTAGAAAGATTTGCCCGGCGGTATTTTAATCTTTAGTACAAAAAAGAAAAGATACACATATGGAATTTGCCAGACGCAGCAACGATATGATAATGATAAACACAATAATTGTTAAAAATCGTTGCTGCGTCTGGCAAATTCTATATGTATATTTTTTCTTTTTTGTACTAAAGATTAAAATAAAACAGTATTCTAGTTTATTCTAAGAGTAGAAAAACATTTACTTAAAAAACACAGTAATAAATAATAAAATAAACGCAAAATATAAGTGCACCTCCAGCGGTACCGATATTATCTCAGCGAACAGACTATAATACACTAGGAAAAACACACCACTGTTGATAATACGACTTACGTGATTGGCCCTTACGCAAAACATGTTCTGCAAAGTAACCCCTGACCTGAGTCTATTAATTGAAGTTAGCAAAAAAAGGTTTTTTGTATTTTGTTTGTATAAATTTGAAGAAGAATCTCTGGTTGTACAGTTTGTATATGGCTGGTTTTAATACCAATACATATAGGACATTAAGAAAAATAAAAATAAAAGTAAAAAACGCTTTCCCTCCATTTTTCAATTGTTTTTTTGTTCGCCAATACGAGTGAATCTAAAGAAGAAATTAGATACATTCTGAAGTTTTATTACAAAAAGGGAAAATGCAACTCAAACCACAAAAAAAATTGTGTCGTTTGTGGACCTAATGCAGTGTCAATACGAGTAGCACAAAGCTGATTCAAGCGTTTTCAGTCCGGGATTTTGATGTCAAGATGCAGCTCGCTCGGATCGCTCTCATACGGTTAAAGTCAATGCCATTCCTGAAAAAGTGGGGCAAGATCGGCATATTAGTAGTTACTTACGTACGTAAAACTGTTTTGCCCCATTTGATAAAGCCTGGCTAAAGTCTAAAGTCGCACACTGCCAAGTAAACAATCGACTACTTGGCGATGTCAGACGTGGAATTACTGGGTCACCCGCCCTATAGCCCCGACCTCACACCTTGCGATTTTTATTTATTTCCGAAAATAAAAGAAAAACTTCGAGGAAAACGTTTTATGGACGCCGAGGAAGCAGTGGCTGCGTTTCAAAATGCCCCCTAAGGACGAGTGAGCAAAGTGCTTTTCTCAGTGGTTCCACCTGATGCAGCAATGTATTGATATAAATTGACACTATTTTGAAAAGATATAATAAAACAAATAACTTGCTAGTTTGTTCAGTTTTTGATTTTCTAAGAGCTTTCAGTGTCACCCTCGTAGGTGCCTAGTCTAAATGACACACTAACAAGTAAATTTAATGGACTGTATACATTGAATTATATGTACTACGTACTAGAGAAGCTATTCCAAACAAAAATTGTGTACTATACTCTATGTTTTCGCACAGTGGCACATGCGCGAAGATTTTAATTTAATATAAAAATATTAATATAAAATAAATATACGAATTTAATATAAAATACTCTTATTTTAATCTAAACAAACATATTTCTAAATAAAATATTATAATAATAATCTTATGGAATTCACAAATCTTCAATGTACGCAATACTTAGTTTAGTGTACGGATTGCAATACAGTTCAGTTGAACATAGTCAATGTTCGGAATGCGAAATCTAGTGCGTAGTACATATATATCCATGACTGTATATAATAAATTTACACTTATTGCGCACTGTACAATTTATAATTCTGCACAATAGCTGCGGCTAGAATAAATAGAATATATTTAATAATTTAGATAGCAAAGAACCTTTTACTATGGTGCGGTGCTTCATTTTAAAATGCCAAATTTTCCTGCTTATGCACGCGCACGCGGTTGTCTTTGATGACGCAGCGGCGCCTTGGACAAGATGCGGCACGTGCCAAGGCGGCGCAACAAAATGGCGACGGTGTCTTAGTGAACAGACTGTAGTGATGTTAGGGAGTAGTGGTGCTGGGATTAGTGTTGACGGGTGCATGCAATTGAGGGAGGGCGGGAGGTGCTTTTCAAAATAGGTAAGAAGCATCATTTTATTTTATTATGTGGTTTCTAACAAATAAATTTTAACTTTACTTTTTAAATTAATTCTAAAATTCCTTTTTAAGTAACCTTAATATTTAAATTAAATATTCTATAGAATTAAGTTTAATTTCACCTGTTAAGTGACACTTTATCACAGAATTCGCAGCATTCAACATTCGTTTGGTACAGACTTCTGTTGGAGCAAGACCAGTTACGTCCATTCGTAGAACAGTATTTCAAAGGCACATCATCGTCACTTGAGGAGTCTTGTATATTAATTATTTTCATCTAAAACAAGTAGAAAGAGATAGTTGAATTAACTAAAATCTCCAAATCCTACATCCTGTCAGTATATTCCCCTTCTACTTTTTATTTTGCCTTGTGGTGGCGGCATATGAGAACCCACCAACCCATTTCGTCCTGTTGTATGAGGCGACTATGGGATCTCGTTGTTCCCAATAAGCATTTTTAATAGATAAGGGTTAAAAACGAGGACATGATTCAACTGATGGTAAGTCGTTGTTGTGGCCCATAATCATGCCAGGCAGTGATCACATAGTAATTTTTTTTCTAGACAAGCTCATATTTTTTGTTAACCACAAATTGTCATTTCTATACTGTCAATTGAACAGTTCTTCTTCTTCTTTACTTTTGTTTTGAACACAAAAAAATTAATTAATATCTATAATATTAATAATATTTATATATATAATAAATAATATTTTTTTACAGTTGTTTTGAACACAAAAAAAATTAAGGTATCAGAACAAACTTTTGACAATGGTAGTGAAAAAAAATTTTTGACCAAATTACCGTTTTCTAATAACTATACCAACTTTTTATTTCATAATGCCGAAAATAAATACAATGACACTTTTTGTAATTTTAAAAGATATAAAAGTATACTTATTTGTATAATTTTGAGAAAACAGATCGGACCCCTAATAAACATCGATAATTGATATGGCAACTCTCATAATTGTTAATCACTTCAAGTTGAATTCATATTTTAGTTTGTTTTGGTAGAATAACTGTTACCTACACAAATATTAAGAATTTAAATTACATAGAAAAATCTTATTAGTAGCGTCTAAGCAATTGTTGTAATAGTACGGCTGTTGTTATTAAAAAATATAGAATGTTAATAGCCAGTTATAGGTGGCAGTATTACCGTTATAGAGTAATCGTGGCACTTTAACCACCAAATAAACAACTTGCGCTTCTCATCACCATAAAATAAATATATGTACTAAAAATATTAATACTTCTAAAAAAAAACACTTAATTTCGTAAAAGCATTGAAAAACTTAAATTCTTCAAGTGTGGTAAAGTAAACGAAGACGAGAAGGACGAAGACCGTTTAAACTTCAAGTTTTACTTATATAGCGTAAGTAGAGAGAGATATCACCGAAGAAACTTGATACACATTATTTCTAATAACATGTTATGAAAATTAATATTAATTAATAATTAAATAAATAGGACGTAATACTACATTATAACAATTTACGAAAAAAATGTGATTGATTGTTGTTTTAATTTAAAAGCAAAGGGATCAACGCTCATGCAGCCTAATCGTGTTGTACTTCACAACACTAAATTATACTGATGCTTGATATGCTTGACCGCCGGCGCGTTGTTGCTAATGTTTTATCCTTTTAATAAGTATTGAAGTGGATTTGGATACATGTTGTGCAATTTTGTGTATTAAAAGTCTTCACATAAAAACCATTTGAAGAAACTGTATAACAAGTTCTGCGATGGTAAAAAAAATAGTTATCTAATCGGAATGGTAGTTCCAGAGAACATTGGTCCATACCAATATATATACCTTAACCACAGAATAAATAAGTACAGAAGTTGCACTCTTTTGATGTTGACTGCTTGCCGACGTTTTAATAGCCTACATAGTAATTATTAATCAGATAAATCGCGCACGCAAGCTAAATAATACTTTATCGCTGCGCACGACAGTCCGTATTACTTTGCATCTTTTCTCATTACTACGTCACAACGGACTTTCCGTGGTTGCTGAGGGCTGTTAAAAGAGTAAAAAAATACATTGTGAAAAGGTAAGTTACTTAAGTACTTATGCTGACTATAATCGACCATATTATTTATTATGTGAGTTCTGTGATGCTCAATGCATGCAACTTGCAAGGCCTTTCGTCGGGAATCGCGATGCTTGGTTCGTATAGGTAGATAGCGTAAACAACAAATAAACCTGAAATACGATTCCTAACAGAAATATGATCATAATCTACTTAGTTGAAAATCTTGTAAACAAAGTTTTAATTTCAGTATTTTATGCTTTTATAACTTAAAATATTTTAATTACAAAGACGAGTATAGGTATGTAAGTAGGTACCTACTTGGGTAGTAAAGTAAATTTCAATTAAGTTTTGTAATAAAGTACTTAGGTATTACTTCTGTTGTTAAATTCTTAATTATTTTTTCGCTATAAGTACCTATCAAACAAAAAAAAATTAAATAAATTTACCTTTCATTATCCTTCGGTAACTCAAAAAATGATATATCTGAATCCTTTTAATTGCTCATTAAACATCCATCCCCGCAACAATTATAATCGGAACGACGTTTTGCCATTATAATTTATCAAATAGATATAGGTAATATACATATATAGTATTCTTAAGTTACATTAAAACTTTGTCAAGTATTTTATCCTACAATTAAATATACTAAACACTAAACAAAAACTATTTCGACGAGTATTTCAACAAGTATTTACAAAAAATTATTTACGTAAACAGCGTTAAAAAACTTTAACATTCAATCATATAGAGCGCGCTAGCCCCGACTGCGATCTACCCCTGGGGCAGCTCGCGATTGTAGGTAATTATTTCACGCAGGTAGCAAGAGTGACAGAGACCTGCCTTAACCTAAAATATATAAAAAATATAGACATAACTTAACACTATTTAGTGAACTTTCTTGTTCGGCGCGTCACTGTATCGGCGAAACACTACCCCAGAGGGCCAGAAATTGGGAGCGTGGAATGTCTCTTTGTGTTTTGTAGGAACCTGGAGAACGTAGGATTTAGAGTTCGATGACCTATTAGACTCCATACACTGCAAATGTAAAGAGATCGGATCCTCAATGCGGCATCGGTTTCGTTCTTTCACGAAACGTATAACGTCTTCTCCCGACGTACTTTTGTCCAAACGGGAAATGTAGAGCTTTTTTTTTATAGGATAAGCTATATGGTTGGCTCCACAACACGCAGATTTGTACTCGCGTTTAGTTTGGCGGTCCCACGCCGGTTGCAGACGGGTCTCGACCGACGTCTCTTCTCAACAAGAGTAAACCCGTTATCATCAATCTTGTTTCGGGTGACGGTTAATTTCTACGTTTCTTCGCTTTCGACCACAAGAGTGCCGGTTGAGAAGATTTTCGGGCAACATCCGCAAACATCTTCCCTTGTTGTGAGGTTGGCTTCGGCGGAGGAGTACTCATAGGTTCAATCAAGGACTGAGGCGGTGAAGCAATGACGAGCAAGGTCACCCTAGTTGCACGGTTATCAACCCGCTGACAGACGGTATCGCATGACGGAGTTGCAATCATCGGTGAAATATGACTACTATTACGGTTACCGCGTGTCATATTTACATTCTGCAACGGCGGTGAATTCGCTGCGGAAGATAATGAAGCAATTATGCTGCGCAATATAGTGACTTCATTCCTCAGCTCTGTTGCGGCTTGTTCCGATTCTTTAAATTTGAAACGGATGTCCGTAACTTCGGCTTTTATCGTGTTGATGTCTTTAAACAATCTGGTCACGTCTACATGATCGAACGTCACGGGAAGTAGCTTGTTGAGATCACGCGCGACGAATGGAATGTCATCAGGGTCGGTCTCATTGAACAGCCTGAAGATGTCTTGCAGGTCTTTCTTACCGTGTCCATCCCTGTGACGTGTGATAAGACGCATTTTGGTCACGCCTGAATCTCTATCTAATCTAATATTTTAATATTTCGTCATTTAAGACGAAAATATTATCAACGCAGGAAGTCAAATTTTTAATTCATCCAATCTTAAAAATAAAATACTTAGAATGAATATATTATATCCTATTTTAAAAGTTGGAAATGGACTCTAAATATATTTCAACTACTTCCGCATGAACGAGGAGACATTTCATCATTTCACAAGTCAAATTCGAGTCTCAATCTCAACGCGTTCCTTCTAATTCGGCCCGCGCACACGCACACAGTTGCAATACGTACACAAACACATATAGTTTTTCCGGCCGGCAACGAGTGGGAAGCTTGCTGTCCATTGCTGTCACAGCACTGGCGACGGCATCGTCGGCGCTGGTAAGTGGAAAAACATTCCATATATTTCATACATTTTTACTTCCCCGGCAGCCGTGCCGTTGCCGTCACCGGCACAGTGACGCCCGTGCTGGTAAATGGGAAACCGTGCAAAAGATCCTCTGGCCTATGTTATAATATATTATGTAGTACCTATATAATAAGAAACAACTTGCCAGCTGTCACTGTCACTGTTATTGCTAACCGTAGACATTACTGACGTCATTGTTTGTTCTTATCAGCTCACATCTTGGTCTCTATGCTTGATGCTTGCTTGCTTGTCAGTCGGTTCTTTGGTTTAGGGACGGGCAAGGGAAAAAAATTATCGATATATTACGCGTGATAAATATCGATACATCATTTGCATGATGTAAAGATAAGGTCCAAAATTTTATATTACTGACGGTTGGACGACGAAAAAAAACGACAATCAACCACACATGAATACTTTCATATCTCCTTTTGTTGTTAGATGTTTTCTCATTAATACAACATTTTAAAATATATCGAAATTGATACTAATTCGATACTCTAAAATAAATATCGATATATCGCGATTTAAAATATCGACGATATATAAAGATATTTTTATTAAAATATTTCGATATATCGATATATTTTGTTCAAGCCTAGCTTGGTTGTCACTTGTCACTTTTAAATAACTTTGTCACCACAGAACACTAATACCCTTAGGCGGGAAGAATGTCAAATTCAAAGAAAATGGCACCCATAATGCACACCATGTCTGTCGTGCCACCTAAAACTTTTTTGCGCGGGAATTTTGATACGTGATTTTTTTTTTAGTTAGCGTCTTGGTTGTTTCGTTTCAAAAATGGCTTAAGAATGTAAAATACCATATAGATAGATATAGCTTGTAGTTTTTCGTTTCAATGATATATATTGCTAAATTAAAACGAAAATAAAAGCACAAAGTTATTTGTAAATTATGGTACTTTACATTCACAAACCAGTTTTGAAACGATTAGCAATCATTTTAATATAAAAAGGGAACTATTTTTTAAGTAAAAGTGGTTTTTGAAATACATAATTTTTATTTACATTACATACTTGTCCACATTGGTACATAGAAAAATCGTTGGTACATTGATGGACGTAACTGACGAAATAATTAACAAATTTTTAACTTTATGCATGTAAACAGTTCTCAACAGCTCTTAACTAAATATCGATTTAATAGTTAAGTAGTTATGTAAAGCAGAATAGTCTATTTTTAAGAGGTAGGCGTGTTTTAGCGAAGTATAAGAAATAAGCATTCTCGTAACTTCCCTAAAACACGTGTCAACGATTATTAGTTTATAGCTAATTACTTCATCACTTCACCTATTAAGTAAACGGCATATGTAACATGACATTTAAGCAAAATGGAAAGTAAAGGTATATTGGTTTTATATAAAAAAGATTAGACAATCTAATATAAACACTTTTTTCTAACAAGAAAACATTATTTCCCTTCACATTCTACAAACAAGGCAATAGCTTTGCAATATTATGTCTAAACTCCAATAACCTGATTATATTATAGATGCCACCAATAATATTACATTTGTAGAAATTATTTTCGTTATATTATTGTTATTGACTCCATTAAAAAATTTTTTTCATTTTCATGTCATTAATTAGTACTACCTTAAGTGTAATTTCTTTAGCCCTGTGAAGTATGCTGCCGCCATAAGGAAAAAAGACGTATCTAACATTTTTTTCGAATTACATAAATGTTCTAAATTAATAAAAAAAATGGCATCCACCAGTATTTTTATACTTCGCATAAATTAAACGGAACCCTATAAATCTTACAGTTAAATAAGACGCATCTGCGATATAAATCAAATATTACTAAATAGAAAAGACGTTTCTGAAGTCCACTAAGTTGAAAAAACGCATTTTAGTAGAAGCGTCTTATTTATTTACAAAATATTTAATTCATCATAAAATGAAAAGATACTTCTGCACGGTCATAAGAAGAAAAGAATGTTCTGCGTAGATGTGCCTTTTTAGCGAAGTATTACGAAAAATGGGCAGGCGCAAGTGGCAGTAGTGCCTTTCCTACTTAGCATTGCTAGTTGTGCGGGGTGAAGAGGGGCTCGCGGTTGGTATACTGCGCTTCAGTTGCGTCCAGGCAGACAGAGTGAAAAACGCGCGCGCGGCTCTACGAGCTATAACTACGGAA